GTGCTCAAAACATGGGATGCAGGCCAGACAGGGAGAGGCCTTCAAAAGTTCTTTGGAATGAAGCCAAGAAACTAAAAATGATCTTTTTCTCCTGTATACAAATGATAATTGACACATACTCTCTTAATATGTGAGACATCAAATCACTCCTAAGTTAGATGTGCAAAGAATAGCTTCATTTTCCTCTTATGTCTGTATCTAGTTTCTAAAGGCGTGTGTGTGTGTGTGTGTGTTTGTGTGTGTGTGTGTGTGTGTGTTTAGTCTGTTTATACTTAATATTTAGCAAATGGTTTTAATTCAGTGGGTTATCCATTTCCTCTGTTTCTCAACAACTCTCTCATTTAACTATTAGGGACAGTGGCTCATAGGAGGTCAACTTGTTGCTTCCAAACCTGGGCTGGACACTGGCATAGCCATGAGTGCCAACTGTCACCCTCAAGAAAGGCTGATGTCATCAGTTAGGGAATAGCCTTTACACTAGGACTTTGAATATCTCCTCAGGAGATTCCAGGCTGAAACACCACTAAATCTAAACTACTGTGCATCCTAGTGAGAAACCCTCTCATTGTCTGCAAGCCAAGCAGGTAGCTGGAGACATCACTCCATTTCAAAAATTTCCAGGAAATTCTACAGGACTCAGAACCTACCCTGAAACTGTTAGGAATTCTGAGGCACAGGGGAAACAATTCACGATGTGCAAAGAATAGCTATATTTTCCTCTAGTGTCTATATCTAGTTTCTAAAAGTGTGTGTGTGTGTGTGTGTGTTTCTGTGTTTCTGTGTTTCTGTGTTTCTGTGTTTCTGTGTATGTGCCTGTGTGTGTGTTATGTGTGTTTAGTCTGTTTTTACTTAATATTTAGCAAATGGGCTTGAAATCTAGGGATATGGCAATTAATCAAGCTATTAATAAACTCTGTGCCTCTAGGCAAGTATAAAATGGCTGGAGTGTGGTCTATCCTCACTGTGAAATGGAAAATTGAGGCTGGCTGGGCTCTGGGATGCTCTCTGCTGAGGTTTCTGTGACTATGATTTTTTTTTGTCCTCTGACTTTTCCACTTATTTCCAGACTTTGGGAAAAGGGGACAACGTGTCTTGACTAGGCTAGATAACCAGTTACTTGCAGTTGGGGCAAGGTCTTTCCAGGAAAATTTGAGGACAGAAAATGAAAAGAATAGATTCTTCTTCCACCCCCACAATGAAGTCTCAGCTGCATGCTCTTCCTTGTCTTCCAAGGCAGCAGAGAAGGCAGGAATGTCTACAGCACAAGCCCAATACTTTCTGGAGAAGATCACCACAGAACTGGTGAAGAACAAGCTCAGGGAGACCACTGAGGCAGCCTGCAAATACGGGGTGAGCAACTCCATGTGTATCCCCAGCCCCTGTCTAAAGAGAGAGAAGTCATGTTGCCATGGCTGTGAATGTTCATGGCTGTTAGCTGCCTACTCTTCTTCGTGAGCCCTCCCTAGCTCTCCTAAGCCCCTCATCGAGTCCCTCCCCCTGAGCTAGTCAAGGAAAGAAAGGATGGTGGTTTTTAAAAACAAGAATCTATATGGCACATAGGTAAAGCTGAGAAGATGCTGAGGCCAACGAATCTCTTAGCAGAGCTTTTATTTGCTTTGTTCTGTGTATCAGTCCTGTAGGCACCTGCTCTATCACCATCCTTCCTATACTCTCTTCTCTCTAGGCCTTTGGGCTGCCCACCACTGTTGCCCACGTGGATGGTAAAATCTACATGCTATTTGGGTCTGACCGCATGGAGTTGCTAGCTTACCTGCTAGGTAAGTTCAGATTTTCATTCCCTTGACCTTTTGATCCCAGCCCAACACCCATTACATCACATGACCAAAACAGCAACAATAAAAGTTTCTGTTATTTGTAACATGGAAGCCTTACATTTACTTGGTGCTGATCAAGGTTGAATGGAGTTCAGAAGTCTCCCCATAGGGGAGAGGGAAGCCTTCTAGACCTTGAAGCCAAGCAGGTCCTAGAAGGTCCTGGGTCCCCTTAGGACCGTGTCCCACTGCTACCCTGTCTTATAACCATGTATAGACATCTGTGATTTTTCTCTATCTAGGAGAGAAGTGGATGGGCCCTGCGCCCCCAACCCTGAATGCCAGACTTTAAGATTGCCTTAGAAAGTAACCTTTGATTTCTCCATCTGATGAAGCTGTTGTCTGTGGCCCTTGGAACTGGAGCAGGAGTCCACCTTTAGCTGTGGCTACCTTTACTTCTATGCCTCACAAGTGCCCTTTGAAAAGCCTTAAGTTCTTCATATCCATAAAAATAAACCTGATGCTGCTAAACAAGTCATTTCCGGGTCTGTGTCTGCCTGAGTGATGTTGGGGTACCATGATCCTGTGATCACATGCTGCCCACTCCAGAGATTGGGCAAGAGCCAGAGATTGGACAAGAGCTGTTTCTGTATTCACAGCCCTCCTTGCTCCCCCGAGCACACTGGGGCCACAGTGGGGTAGGTGCTGGAAAGAGTCTCCCTTTCCTCTTGTTTATCAAAGGCAGGAAACTAAGCTCAGGAGACTTAGCAGCAACACATCAGCTTGGGGTTTACTGTCTCTGACCAACCAGGGAAACTAGGAGAAAAGTAGGAAGGAGATCCTAACTGTGAATGGTAGAGGGAACCAGGAAAACATCCAACTGTGCTCAGATAAGTAATCTGAGTTCAGAACCAGAGCAAGGTAGTCTCTGGCCTAGCTGTGACTTCAGACTTTGTTTAATCTTTAAAGAGCCTGTGCTACACAGCCAGGTTGAGGCTATAGCAGCACTTATGTGTATATGTCTTTTCACACAGAGTACGTCAATACTTAAAACTGGCAATATATGTTATTTGCTATGTTGATGTTTGCACAGATTAATTTATCAGAGTTGTTTGTGTGACTTAATCTAAAATCTATATAAGAAGATCTTCCCGGAGCTGGAGAGATAACTCAGTGGTTAAAAGCATCTGCTGCTCTTGAACAGAGCCTGGATTCAGTTCTCAGAATCCACATGGCAACTCATAGCCATCCTTAACTCCAGTTTCCTGGAACCCAATGCCAATTTGTGATCTCCTAGGGCACTAGGTGTGGATGTGGTGCACGTACATATATGCCAGCAAACAATCATATGCAAAAATATGCTCCTTAAAAATTTTTAAGAAGAGCTAATAAATTATTTTCAGATTTCCAAAATGTTTTAAATATTGATCATCAAATTGAAACTATAGTATGAGCATTTTCACAGTACACAATATGTTGCTATTGCAAAAAGTGCTACAGTAAATAACTTCATAGGAGAGATCAGTTCATGTTCCCTATGTGTCTTTAGGCCATAGAATCTAGCTTCATACATCCCTAGTGTACAAGCACTGACAGTGTCCAGCTCTAGAGTCTAACCTGAGGTCTTTCCCATGCTGGACAGAGGGGAAACTACAGCTATAATGTCTGTAGAGCATTATCTTCAATCTGGCCAATCACAAGTGGCCTAAAAGCAATCTAACACACATCACTCAGGATTAGCACCCAGCCTATACCAGTGGACTACATACATCTCATAGATTTTGAAAAGCAGCCTCAACCAACTAGGAAATACAGTTTACATTCCTGTTCAATCAGAGACAACTTACTCAGCAGCTGCCCCCCCCCCAGCCTCAAAATATAGTCACTGGTCTTGGCAGATAGAAATGCACAATTAGTATACAACTGAACACCACCGGACAACATCCTCCAAGATTAAAAACTCTGTATGGCTTAGGTGTAGAAAGGATATACCACACAATGAGGCCATATATTTTAAAACTCACAGATAACATCATACTAAAGGGTGAAATTCTGACAACTCTTCCTCTAAAATCATGTACAAGACAAAGATGGCCACATTTGCTTTCAACCTAGGATTAGCAATCTTAACCAGAGCAATTAACCAAGAGAAATAAATACATATCCAACCAGACAAGAAGAAATATGGAGCTGGAGAGATGGGTCAGTAGTTAAGAATACTGGCTTTTCTTCAAGAGGTTCTTTGTTCAATTTCCAGCCCCCACATGGTAGATCACAACTGTCTAGAACTACTAGGGATCTCATTCTGTCTTCTAGGGTGCAACTATACATACAAACAAAACACTCATATACATAAAAAAATGAATATTTTTTAAAAGAAGAAAAGAAAAAAGAAATGGAATTATTTCTGTTTGCTAATGACATTCTTCTATAAAAAGGAAAAAAAGACTATACACACACCCTCAACCTAGAAATAATAGACAAATTATGAAATGATGAAACATAGAAAATAAACCAAAAAAAATGTGTACTGTTTTTATTCATTTGATAATGAACTGTCTTAAAAAAATTTGAACAATACCATATTAACAAAGGCAAAGCAAAACTTAAGGCATTATTAGTTAATTTGGTTTATAAGGGGAGGGGTGAAAGATTACGCTTTAGTGAACACATAAGAACACTATCAAAAGAAACAGAAGACACAAATAAATAAAATAGGTCCCTGTTCAAAGACTGCGGAAATTAATATCATTTAAATGTTCTTTCTAAACAAATTGGTATAGAAATTCAATTTGTCACCTAAGTAGAAAAAACAAAACTGAGGTAAGTGAAATATTAAATATGTTAATTAACTTAATGTAATCACTCCACTCTAATGCATACTTCCATGTTTCCATTATACCTCATAAATATATAGAGTTATGATCTTATTGTCAGTTAAAAACATAGACCAAAAAGATAGCCCAGCACTTAAGAGTACTTGATGCTCTTCTAGAGGACCCAGGTAGTTTCAGCACCACATGAAGAAGATCACAAACACCCAGAACTCATGCCCTGTGTCTTCTGGCCCTCAAAGGTACACATTCCAGTGGCATATACACATAGAAAAAGAAAAAGAAGGTTTTATTTTGTTTATAGAAATAGGTTTCTCTCTGTTGCCCTGGCTGTCTTGGAACTCACTCAATAGAACAGGCTGGACTTGAAATCAGAGTTCTACCTGCCTCTGCCTCCCCAGCATGGAGATTAACGTCATGCACACATAAAAACCTTACATCACATTATACTTCATGCACAGGGTCAGTTTGATCATAAATTCCCAAAACTTCTAAAATCAAATGGTGTGTGTGTTTGTAAATCAGAGAGATGCTGTACTACACGGCCCTTGACAAAACCTTACCAAACCACACTCTTTGTTTATACATATTTAAATGGTTTTCATTAATCCCTGACCACTGTGAGTCATCAAACATCTTGGTCTTTGCCAGCTACATAAGAAAAAATGTTCAGTACACCTTTAACTGGAAATTTTTGTAAGTATGTATAAACAGGTTTTTTATATATATTTGAGAGCCATCTGATGTCCATTTCTATGAATATTTTCTTCTTTTCACTTATACATTTTTCCACTAAGTTTCCTTTGGTTTGATATGTTGAACTACAGTTCTTTCACACTAAGATAGCTGCTGGCATACAGCCCTGACAGGGTCAGTTACTGAGGTGAGACATAGCCTCAGACAAGGCTGAAAGCTGATGACTTCTGGTCTTTAACTTTCTCTGATCTGAGGGCCAGAAGCTGATGGCTTCTGGCAATTTAATTCTCTCTTGCTATTCTGAGGTCAAAACCTGATGGCTTCTGGTAATTTAACTCTTACTGTTCTGGGGGCCAGAAGGTGATTGGCTTTTGGCAATTAACTGTCTTTGTCTCCCAAGGCCAACAGCTGATGGTTTCTGGCAATAAACTCCTACTGATAGCAACAAGAAATTAAGAAAAGAAACTTAGTTACCTGGGCTCTATGTACTTTAACTTAACTCTTTATGAGTCAGAGAGAAAAAAAAAGGAGAAACAGAAAGTCATGCAGGCACACACCAAAACACACACACACACATAGACACACACACACAGACACACACACACTCACATGCACACATACACTGCTGGTCCTGACCACCTGTTTCATAAATTTCACAAGTACACATTCTTACTTGAATATATATATATATACATACATATGTGTATACATACATATAAACAACAGACAGACATATATACATATTGGGAATATATACATATTGTACAAAGAGACATATATACACGTTTGGTGGATGGAGCAGAGCCCAAACAGTCACGAGTTATTTTTTCTCTCAGCCTTTTTATACCTTCTTAGACAAATGTTTGTTATAAAATTACCTCATAGATAAAATGTTACACAAAAGGGGAGTTACAGAAGGATGTCAGTAGGAAGTTGAAAACAGTGTTTCATTTCATAAGCTCATTATAAGTTCACATGGTCTGCTTTATCATGGGGCACACCTGGGGTTTTATCCTTTGACCTGGCAAGAATTAATTTTTTTTTAATCACAAATCTGTCCCAAGCATATTTCTCTTCTTAGTGCTATTTATGAAAGCTGATTGTTTTCCTTATTATGCAGTCTTTACTTCTTATTCTATAAGGAGGGAGCACACTCTATTCTTAACTTTAACTTCACTACATCTTTCTGGCAAAACAACTAAAATCATCTCCTTAAACTTTCTTCCTAAAAGTATATGAATCAAAT